CCACTCAAGAATCCTGATGTCCCCACAGACGGCGCCAAAATGTGGATGTCGGATTTACACACTCAAGTATTTTTGTTAAGTGGGAAAGATTATTCTTGAGGGACAAAAATGAATATATAAAAACTTGTAAATTGATACGAAAATTGCTATATTATTTCTCTCTTGAGAGGAAGATCCCCTTTACATGGCCATCGGCCTCTATATTTATACACCGATAAACGACATTAAAATGAGTAATTAAGCACAATTATTTCTTCTTAGATGTGTCCGTTTTGATTCTTTGGCTTTAATGCTCAACGTTTGAATTTGAGTTGACTCTGATCTTCATGGGCCTCGCCTCTTTCGGCCCAAGTGTCCGTGAACCGACTTACCCGTGTCTTCTACACCGAACTCGTGTCACAGTGTAGTCACTTCGGATTCTCGAAATGGTGACAACCACTTCGACCGTCCCTTCGGCTCACGGGTCCAATGGGCTTCATCCTTTATGGGCCATTATCTTGATCACGTGGCAATCTTTGGTTGGTCTCGTACTTCTGGTGCGGGATCCGACACCAACAAATATCTAATATCAACTCTTAAGTGTAGAACCACAATTTCTATGATATGGCAAACTGAAAAATTGTTGTAAATAATGATAAGAAACAAAATCAAAAACTACAAACTCGATACTGAACTCTAACAAACGAAGAACGATTTGTGTGGATTCGAGATATTTTTTCATTAATTCTTTAATTGCCCGTAGTGTGACGGTGTTACGCAATTAGAATCTAGGATACAACCACACCATCAACTGTTTCGCAACACCCGAAAACTGAAGGTAACAAACCAAAATTCTGTGTTTCACTCTCAGACACAAAAGACAAGAGAAGACAAGAGAGGAGAGGGATTTTTATGTTGATTAACAATCAATTTGCTGAGCAAAGGAGAAGACAAAAGACCATGACTTATCACATTCATTAATGCTGAAACCATTTGACATCATGACATTGTCAAATTTTTCATTCCATTGCTTTGGACCATACAATGACTTCACAAGTCTACACACTTTGTGTTCTTGTCCAGCAACAACAAACCCTTCAGGTTGTTTCATTTAGAAAGACAGTTTTCACATCCATTTGATGAATTTTTAGGTCTCTCAATGCTGCAATTCCTATCAGCATTCTGATCGAAGTTATTCTCGTTACTGGAAAATAGGTGTCAAAGAAATCCAACCCTTCTTTTTGCCGGAAACCTTGCACCACAACCCTAGCCTTGTACTAATCAGTTGAGGCATCGATTTACAACTTTGTCTTGAAAATCCATTTACACCCAGAGCCTTAAACATTTGTGGTAAATCGGTTATCTCCCACATATGATTTTGTATAATGGAGTCGATTTCACTACTGACAGCTTCTTTCCAAGAAGTCTTTCTAAGAAGGTGTGTTTGGTGTAGTCATGGCTTCCGGGAAGGTTCTCGGTTCATTCTCTAAAAGAAAGACTGATATAGCTCGATTTTTACCGGTTTTAACTATGTTTTAGGTATAGGTTTTAGAGTCCTTTTGTTATTTCTAGAGTCGTTTCTAGTCTTTTTCAGGTCTTTACATGTTTAGGATTCATTTGGAGATAACGGAGCATTCTGGAGGAAAACAGAGAATTTATGCTGCAGAAGAAATCCGGAGACTAAAAATCGCGTAGGTGTACATCGACACCACCCCTGGTGTCGAGCGACACCAATACCTGACGGCAATTCAAAAACGCAACTTATTGAAGTTATAAAGATTTGCAGATTTGGCCCTCTTATTTTTAAAGAAGGCCCAACACGTTTTTTATGACTTATATATATAGTTTTAAGGTCATTGTTTAGACCTAAGCTTGGAGAGGTTATTCTCCTTTTCTCTTTTGTAATTGGGAGCAAAACCCTGTGGAGACTCCCTTTAGAGAAGATCTTTATAACTCTTTCTCTTGATATATTCATTATTGATTATTTATTCAGATTATGATTTGTGTTCCTTTGATCATGTCCGAGTAATCATCTTGTTAGGTTTAGGAATTCTCATTAGGGATTTAGATGAACTAGTAAATCGATTACCTATTAGGATTAATCTATAGATTTCTTCACCTTAGGTTGTTCTTAATGCTAATTCTAGCTTGATCACCTAGAATTTGATCTTAGGATAATAGGTATTTGATCCGAGAGGACACCTGTTACTGGAACTACCTTAGATGAGCAAATATTTCTAGATGCATCGAGAGTTGGTCTAGGAGAATTTGTGAACATATCAAACTTGTGTTTAATGCTAGTCTAGATCTAGGAATTTGCATCGAGAGGTGGAATTACTGATATTAGATTAGTTAGTTAGTGCATCGAGAGGTGGTTAGCTATTCATTAGTGATTTGAGTTCTGAAACGGTTCAATAATAATCCTAATTAATTTGCTAGATTTACTATTAGTTTATTTCCTGAGAAATTCCTAAGCTTGACGTTTTCCCCATCTGAATTTACAACCAATTTTAATTTGCTTTCTTTATTTTTAATATTCTTATTTTTTGTTTAGCTTAATTCAAAACCTGTTAGTCTATTGTGTGAACACGAGAGCTTTGTGGAATTCGACCCTAACGTGCTACACACGATCTCTTATTTGAGAGAGTAGTCTTAGGTCTTAATTTGACTCACATCAAAGACCATCAAGAATTCTTTACCAAAAGATTTTTCTTTAGGAGCTCTTTTGCTACGTCTAGGTTCATCTTCAACCTCTTCAGCTTCATTAAATGAAGTACCAGAAGTACTCGCCTCATTTAATGAGATGTTTACATCTCTTTCTTCACGTGTTTGCTTTGGATAATTTCTATCATTGCACGGAAACACGTGTTCAAAGAAAGATTCATTCTTTGACTCCATTATTGTATTTACATGGATATCCGGTACATCTGATTTATGAACCAGAAACCGATTAGCACTACTATTATGTGCATATCCATTAAAAATACAATCAACGGTTTTAGGTCCAATTGTGACCTTTTTAGGAGGTGGTACATCCACTTTTGCTAGACACCCCCACACTTTAAGGTATTTGTACAAAGGTACATTATCTTTCCAAAGTTCATGGCGTCGTGCCAGTCACGTTATGCGGTATTTTGTGGAGGTTATATTTTGTGGTAAGCAAAGCTTCCCCCCAAATGTTCTGAGGTAACCCATATTCTTGCAACATCACATTCATCATCTCTTTCAGAGTTTGGTTTTCTCGTTCCGCAAATCTGTTAGACTCAGGTGAATAGGGAGTGGTCGTTTGATGGATAATGCCATTTTCTTTACAAAATGCATCAAAAGGTCTATCATATTCACCTCCTCTATCACTCCGGACTATCTTAATAGTCTTCTCAAGTTGATTTTCAACTTCGAGTCTATACTCTTTGAACTTTTCCAAGGCCTCATCTTTGCTAAGTAGTAAATATACATATCAATATTTTGTACAATCATCAATGAAAGTCACAAAATATTTTTTACCACCTCTAGTTTGAACAAATTTTAAATTACACAAATCTGTGTGAATTAAACCAAAAGGTTCCATTGTTCTTTCAACACGAGGTGATGGTGTTTTAGTTAGTTTTGCCTGTACGCATACTTCACATTTGTTTTTGCTCGATTTGCATTTGGGAATTAGGTTTAAATTAATCAATCTTTGAATAGATTTATAATTTAAATGTCCTAAACGTTCATACCAAATGTCAAAAGACTCAACCAAATGAGCAACATGGGTTTTTTCATTTATTGAAACACCAGTTACAACAAATTTTGGGAAGGACTGTCATTACATTCATCTTGACCAGCCTACCCAGAACATAACCCATGCCTACAAACACCCCATACTTCTTAAGAACAAGCTTGCCAGACTCGAAAAAGATGGAAAATCCAGCCTTGCTCATTAGCGTACCAGAAATCAAAATTTTCCTCATGTCTGGCACATGTTTCACATTTTCAAGAGAAATCTCATACTCCGAGGTTATCTTTAGCACAACTTTGCCACGACCTTCAATCTTAGACGAGTCGGTGTTACCCATGAATAACTGCTCCTCACTCTTGCATTTTTGATAAGAACAAAACATGTCCTTATCAACGCATATGTGAGTGGTACCACCGTTCCTTTGGATTATTTTCAACCGCATTAACTTCCATAACCATAGCGCACAACTCATGCTGAGTCAAATTGGCTTGGGGCGGGTTCTGATGTGGTAGACCAATCCCAAAAAAAAATTTGGGTGTCCACTTATGTGACCGATTACCATCAACAAACGAAGCATCATCGATCATCGTTTTGTTGTTACCGTTGTTAGACATAATCAATGTCGAATCTGTTCACAAATACACAAATCGAATTAGTATACTAACAATAACCAGAAAACACAACCGGGCCTTGTGGCCTAGTGGTAAAGGGGTCACAGCTGTGACTTCCGCCACCAGGGTTCGAGGCACGGCAACTGGCAGGTTTACATAGGGGAATTGCCAGCCTCGTGGGATTAGTCCTTGGGCCTAGGAAGCCTTTGGGAGACCCGCAGTTATTCAAAAAAAAAATAACCAGAAAACACAATAGAATATAATATGCAATAATTAATCAATTCAATTGCATAGACCAATTAAATATTAATTTGCTAGAATTAACAAATCTAGAAAATTCACAATTTAGTTCAAATTCAAAACCAGCACTAAACAAGCTGGAATGCAACTCAAAAAGAGACCGTGACTTGCTATAATAACGTAAACCACAACCAAATCGGAACCTCCAAACCGGTACAGCAAGATTAATTTTAATCAAGCGTTTGAGTAGATTAGATTAGTTCGACGAACAAACAAAGATAACAGATTAAGCAGTGCACAACGAACTGACAAAGTACACGATCGGATTTGAGAAAACTACTTTCTGAGATACTAAAAAAATATTCTGTAAATCCACAACAGATATGCAAAATAAATTGCATAAAAACAGAAACAATCTAGGCAGATAAATCAGCAATCTAATCAATTATAAATTACAGAAAATAAAATAATCAACCCGGATATGCAGCAATTTAAGCGGTATAAACATATTAAATTACAGAAATTAATTAAATCAACCTCTTGGGTTATTCCTTTTGCCCTCAGGCACTCCCTTACTGCAGTATGCAGGCTCTATTCCGGTTTTGATCCGGCTCACGTCCCTAACAGGTTTGATTCTGGATTTTTAAGCTCTGTCCCTACAATCTATTTGATTTGTTGGTTAGATAATGGAATCGTCAGCCTCATTCGATGGATTTGTGTTCCTGTTTTGGTCACACTTGCCTTTATGAATGCGATGGTAGTATACAAGGCTTCCATGGTTAGTTTGCCTTGGTTGTGGTTTGACATTCTTTGTCATGTTTACTCCTTTATGGAGGTTTATGTTCTCTCAAATGCCCCTGTTGGTGGAAAGAGATTTATTGTAGGGAAGAAGATCTTCTTCGGTGAAGCTAGGCTCACTTTCTCATCTCTTTGTGATATGGGTCGGTGGTTCTAGATCGTCATTGAAGTTCCCATTTTCGATGGATTTATCCGTCGTAATGTCACATTCGCGTTGCTAGCGGAAGTTTGTGGCTTGAAGGCCTCCTTGGAAGCAAAGGATGGTGCTGAAATCGGTTGTCTTGGTTTGGTTGCTTCTTGTGTTGAGCTTGTTAGCTCCCCTCTATCCTTATGTCTCTCTTTGAGTTATTGCTTTTGTTTAAGCTTTTTCAATTGCTCGACTAACATATTAGTCGTTAGCTTGATTTGTTTGGCACTTAGTAGTCTTTTGTATCCTCTTCTCATAGGCAAAACTCTTCTAAGTTTGAATGAAATCTCAGTTTGTCCAAAAAAAAAAAAAAAAAAAACATATTAAATTACAGAAATTAATTAAATCAACAAGTTAAATGAAAAAAAACAGAATAAATTGCAGAAAAAATTAATTAAAATTTTTGATCAGAACTCCACGTCTCCAAAGCTGGTAAGAGTTCATGTTCTTAACAAAACTTCAACAATTAATCAGTTTTCGTTAGTACAATAACGAAAATTAAAGAATTAAGACTGTACAACCACGATTTCTACGATATGGCAAACTGAAAAATTGTTGTAAATAATGATAAAATACAGAATCAAAAACTATAAATTCGATACCGAACAAAGAACGATTTGTGTGGAGGCGAGACACTTTTTCTTTAATTCTTTAATTGTCCGGTATGATGGTCTTACGCAATCAGAATCTCAGGATACAATCACACCATCAACTGTTTCGCAACACCCGAAAACAGAAGCTAATGAACCAAAATTTTGTGTTGCACTCTCCAACACAAAAAACAAGAGAAGAGAAGAGAGAGATTTTTATGTTGATTCACTATCAATCTGCTGAGCAAAGGAGAAGAAAACAGACTATGACTATATATCGAAGCTTGTCAACGTGTACATGGAGGAGAATTTTACGACTTTAATGTCGTCCATTGATCATGAGCATTGGTTTTGTTGTTACTCAAATCAATCAATTGAAAAAGATATTTGATGAATTAGTCAACAATATAACTTTAATAAATTTGGACAAATATGAATAACTATTTGGGCTATAGGCCCATTACACAAATCCCAAAACTCAATTCTCAAATCCTGTATGATTCGGTACGGTATGACATGACACCACATGATATGGTACGCATATCCGGTTTGAGTTTTTCCTTTAACTTCCAAAGTGCAACATTTAACCTTTAGTCAAATTTCAAGCTTTTCAAACAAACTCCGTTTTTGACGTTCCAATACACTACCATGTAGTGCACGCAGCAACGATTTCATCATGCCTAAGAACCAGTCATTCTGATAAACGTCTTCATCGGAAAATCCACCGAAAAAGTAGTCACAACCACTTTGTCATTACAAGTTCCAACATTAAGAAATAAAGATTAACGCACTAACAATTCGTGAAACTACTTAGCCTAACTAAATCAAGTTGTTTTCGGGTTTTGTTTTCCTTTTTCAAAAAGAAAGAAGCAAAATTAAGTAATAACTAGATCCGGACCCGCACGTACGTGCGGGGTTTATATTTTACGATATGTGTTTTATAAAATATGTTTTTCATAAATAATATTTAACAAATTATTTTCTATTTTTGTAGTGTATTAGATAATTGTATATAATTCATATAATTATAAATTTGTAGTGTATTATAAGATTATTTTGTGTTTTTAATAAATTTTGGTACACAAATTGGTTTATTGTTTGATAGAATATAAATTTTGAATAGAAAAGTAAGTATAATTGTTTTATAGAATTAGTATATTGGTTTGGGTGATCGATAAATAATTTGGACACTTGCAGAATATTGGTGTATAATAGTATAAATGTATAATCTAGTATTTGTGATGGTAAATGCTTAAATCAATTTTTTTACATATTATTTTATGACATATATTATGTACTTATGTTTGGTTTGTGAATATTATAATAGGATACAATATATTTAGTGAGATTCGGAAAACCAAAAACTGTTTTAGTTTACAAAAGGGAATTTGTACATTTTGAGAAGTATAATGTGTAGTAGGGAAAATAAAAGTTCAATTTTGTAAGAAACTTACAATTTAATAATTGTATAATTAACATTATGTTGAATTAACATTATAGTTTAGTTAATCTTATTATTAATTTATGAAAGCCTCGAAGACTGTTATGTTAATTATCAGGCCCAACTTCTTCTTACAATTAACATTCGAATGGGCTGTATGACATATTCATAGAGGCCCAGTCTTAACAGATTTTGAAGCCATTTAGTAATTTGTGTTTGCTGTTTTTGGTATTTATCGAAATATAAATATTAATGTTATTTTTGGACAGATATTTGTTGTTTGGAAATGTACGTGTCTTATTTCCAAAAATAATAAAATAAATTCACCGAACAAAATAGATATTGAAGAACAAACACCTCTCGATTTCCAGAATCACTTGCGCGATTCTCATAGAAAAATCATTACTGCGTCTCCTATTATACTTATACTTGATCAATTCGTGAATCCATGAAGAGGTAAGCTTCATATTGAATCAGACCTATACTTTTTCATTTTTTGTATATGTCGATTAAATTTGCAATCTTTGAAATTTTCAGTTTTAATAGTACAAATTCGCCATAGATTTTCAAGAAGGCGGATCTTATATGTGTAATTATTCTCAATTGAATATAAAAATTAGGCTTTTTCTTAATTTTTATATGAATAGAATTTGATTTATAGTAGTTTTAAAAATTTATATAGAGTAGGAAGTTGAACAGTTAATCTTGAAATTACAGAGCAATATGTAGTTTGAAATATACGTAATTTAGTATATTTTGCATTAACTGTGATTTGAGAAGTGTTTTTTGTATGTTTAGTATATCATTTGCGAGTAAAATAAGCCGATGCCAAAAGCAATGTTTTTTTGTCATTGTAGCTATTTCTGAAATATATATATATATATATATATATATATGTTAAAGGTTAGTTATATCTCATTTTCAAAGTTTTGTTTTATAGCTTTGCAGATTTAGTTTATGTTAGAATGAAAACTTTGTTGTATATTTATTCAGATGAAGGAGGTTTTTGGAGTAACATGAGATTTTGGATGAGCAGCAGAGATTTTGTCATCGTAGCTATTTAGAAATATATATTTAAAAGGTTAGTGAGATCTCAATTTTAACAGTTAAGAATGGAATTTCAATGTCATGAGCTTGTGTTTCCTCTTGTATGTCATCTTATATTATCAAATTTCATATAATGGAATTTCAATATAACTCAACAATTAAGATATTAAATAAATGGTGCTGATGATAGAAAGTTCTAATTGTACAGGTTCAACATAATTTTCAAGTTCAATTCTTTTGAAAGAGACAATTCTGATTTCGTTTTGCAGTTGTACCAAAATCCCGAAGCAACAATAAGATTAGTGAGTTGTTGAACATTCAACTTTTGTTTAGTCCATAATACTATTTAGCTATTGTTACTCTTTCTGAATTAGTAGCAGTCTTTTTAAAAACATTGTTTTGTATTTGTATATTATTTTATTTAACTAATTTTTCCTATTTGATTGTTCAATGTATACAAGATAAGGATCAATTCGCAGTTTATTTATGATGGATGAGTCAGATTTGTTGTTACCTTTGTAGCAATTCAGAAATATGGAAGCTTTGGTAAAGGTTAGTGAGATGATAAGTCTAAGATCTCTCTTTACTCTATAGAATATTTTGAATCTGTTATATATTTCTTAATATATAGTATATTTATATAACATAGTTTTTTTGTCATTATATGTTGAAATCTTTATAATTTATTAGAGATTAGCAATACTTTAACTTCTTCTATTGTTTGTTCTGATTTAAACGTAATACTGCTTTTATATATGAATTAGTTAACTTCTGTTCAAGTAATCTTAATATCCGAAAAAATGGATTCTACAAATTCATCCTTGAATTAGTAGAATCGAAATAGTTAACTTCATATTGCTTAATATGGTGTTTAAGTAACAGATAACTTTTGGAAAACAAAGTTAATCTCTTATAGGTAAAAGATGTCTGCAAGTTTTTGAAAAAAAAAAAGAACTTGTTCATAACAGAATAAGTATGGTACAGATAAGCTCTTCAATGAAGACTGATATCACTAACTCCATTACTTGCCACCTGACCATTTCCATACTCGCTTGTACCTGTTCCCAGAGTAAAATAGAATAGTTTTTAATTGTGTAACAGGTCATTACTATGATCAGTTGTTATTGGTTGTTACCTCTTAAACCAAATGTCTCTTGCAATGTTTAGCCTTATAGGTTCTGAAAGACTTTCTTGAACACCACATTCAACGTTTCCTTCTGCGGCTTTCCTTCTTTGGTGAATGCTTGCTCATCTGCCATTTTTTAGAGGATTCGTGAAGTGGTAATGGTAAAGCTTTAAAAGGTGAGTTCTTTAGAAGAAAGCTACCTATATTTATAGTAATCGTATGGAGTCTTTAATTTTATTAGGGTTTAGAGAATTTCGACCCTTTAAGATAATTTCGAATTAGAATCTTTAAAGTATATGCTTGATTTTGGGCGATTTTTTGCATAACATTTATGATTTTATTGTTTTGCATATAATTTATGATTTTTTTAATATAGTCTCAAACTAAATATGGATTTGAAAAGATTGTGTGATTTTAAATAAAAACTAATAAAGGAAATCTATAAGGTTAGAATTCTATATCTTTCAATATCATTGATTTTTCCGTGACCTGTTTTTTAAAAATTCGCATTCAAAGTTTTAGTTGATATGGAAAGATTTTTACGAGAATTGCATCTAATTATTTGTCAAAATTAATTGCTAATGTTGTGAACTGTGTCTTTCAGTAATAGTATAAGGGATATATATACAAGGATAATAGCAGGATACAGAGAATAAGGTAAAACCCTAATGGGCCATGGGCCGGTTATGGAGTCCATCCATATGGTTTATAACACTCCCCCTTGGAAGACATAACCGTGCCCGATACTAAACCGGGATCTCTATAATGCGCTGGGGAATGTTGCCTCATTAAAACCTTACCAGAAAAACCCAGTGGGACAAAACCATGGTGAAGGAAAAAGAGTACAACACGCATTACTCCCCCTGATTTGAGCATCACTGTAGATCCTTAAGTCCGCACATTCCGATATGATGAATGAGCTTCCAGAACGTTGAAGTCGGCAATGATTTGGTGAATAGGTCGGCTGAATTCTCACTTGACTGGATCTGTTGAACTTTGACATGACCGTCCTTCTGTAATTCATGAGTGAAGAAGAACTTTGGCAAAATGTGCTTCGTCCGGTCTCTCTTAATGTAGCCATCCTTGAGTTGAGCAATACAGGCTGTGTTGTCTTCAAATATGATGGTCTTTGATGTAGTAGTAGTAGTAGTAGTAGTAGTAGTAGTAGTAGATGCGCCTTAAGGAAGGCTGCCTACGTACCCTTGGAAGGGATCAAGCCACACATAGTTCCTATTCATTGACCATGCCATAATCTGATCTTATGAATAACCTGCATCAGCAAATCAAACTAAACCAAAGCAAACTGGACCTTCTTTGGTTAGATCAGTATAGAATAAACCCAAGTAAACAACGCAGGAAGAATAGACTTTAAAGCTTAATCAAACCTTCCTTTAAACCTTTCCAGTGCCTTTGGGTTGATCATGAACTAAATTTAGACAGGAGACTCACGGCAAAACAAATGTTTGGTCTAGTGTGTCTAGCCAAATTCATTAGAACTCCTATGGCACTGAGGTATGGCATTTCCGGACTGAATGGATCACTATCCAATCTGAGGCTTCTCACCACCATTGGGCCTGGTCAATGGGCGGGCCTGGTCCTTATTAAATCTCCTTGAGTACTCTTTCAGTGTATGCCATTTGATGCACAAGGATTCCATTATTCACGTACTCAGGTTGTAATCCCAAACAGAACTTAATTATTGCCTAGGTCTTTCATTTGAGATTCTTTCTTTAGATATACTCAACTGTTTGGGCGATTACCCAGAGGTTTAAATCATTCATATACACTGCTATGAATACAAATCCTTTGTTTGCAAACTTCTTGATAAAAATACATGGACTGATCGGATCGTTTTTATAGCCTTCTCTGATGAGATATTCGCTTAACCGGTTATACCACATACGTCCGCTTTGTTTCAGTCCATATAAGGATTTGTCCAGCCTTATGCAGTGCTGTTCTCGAGAATCTTTCTTATCTTTGAGCTCAATACCCTCTGGTAATCTCATATATTATCCAGTGGACTTATATAAATATGCAGGCATTACATCCATTAACCGCAAATCTTTCTCTTTTATATAGCCAGACTTAGCAAAGATTTAAATATCTTAGCATCCACCACAGGGGAGTATATCTCCTCTATTTCTGGTCTTTGTGTGAATCCTTGTGCGACAAGCCGTATCTGATATATCACGCTTTCACTATGTTTATTTCACACAATCACAAAGACTCATTTGTCCCACTGGCTTTACATTGAATGGTATCCTTTGTATTGGACCAAACACATTCTTCTTCTTAATGATTCTTAGCTCCACATTTTATGGTCTTGTACCATTTTAATCAATCAGGTCTTTGAGTGCACTCTAGTATAGACGTGGGCTCCTGATCCTCATTCATTTCAGTTGCTACCTTGTGCGCAAATATATTATCATTGATGTCGACATCTTTTCGATTCCATTGCATTCTAGACATGATATAGTTTATAGAGATCTCTTTGCACTTTCAGGACCTTGAGGTTTGGCGTCCCAAACCTCATTGATTGGTACCTTAGGGTTATGTCTATTAGCCGGCCATGTCTATGGTTTCTTGAACCTTCTCGGTTTCCTTTGCACCTTTCTTTGATTTCCGAGGGTTCTTGTCTTTGGAACCTTTTGGGTCTACCACGTTTCTTACGTGTTGTAGCCTCTGTAGCAACTTGATTATGTTCCTTGTGAACATCAATACGTACTGGTGCATTACAAGTTGGTATGTACGATTTTGTTACTCTCTTTGGGTCATTATAGGAATCTTGGCAACTGTTTTAGCTAGCTTTTGCAGATATATAGTCTTTTGGATCTCTGATGGAGTCCGAGGATCTTGCCATGTGAAGGATGTTTGATTCTATGTAAGTTCTTTGACCAGCTTGTTAGTCTCTCCACCCAGTGTTGGGAAAACGGATTCATCGAGATGACAATCCTTGTATCTGGCCTTTGGCTCGAGATACTTAATGATGGTGGGAGAATCATTTTTAACGTATATTCCCATCCCCTTTTGAGGTCCCATCATTTGCTCTCTGTGGTGGTGCAATGGGTACATAGACTGAACACCCAAATGTCTTAAGATGGGAAACGTCTGGCTCATGACCCGTTAGCAATTGGGATGGGGAATATCTATGCTCACTAGAATGGCCTGATGCGTATAAGCTCTTGTTGCATGTAATATTGCGTGTCCCCAAGCAGCTACTGTGAGTTCAAGTATGGACATGTGCCACGGGGTATACTACTCTCCCCCTCATGGACATACTGTAGCCATAATTTACCAGCATTATCTAGACATATAGTCTTAAGTATGTGGGCTCACAGACTTATGGTCTGGGCCAGCAATCTAGCAAACACCAAGTTTCTAGTTGCTTTGACTGGTGATGACCTTAGTATGGGTTTCCCTTGTGTATATGCTACACACGTGAGGTCCTTAAGGAGTGTGCCTTTTTGATTTTAATATCAGCTTTACGCATCATGTTAGAACCAGGCTGGCCAAGCCGGTCATGCCATTAGTGAATTTCTCAGTAAACCCTTTTGTTTACTGTATTAGCCTCTATCATATTGACTTTGGCATAGTAAAGATATATGACGCGGGTATAGTCTCTAAGACCTTCTCATGGTCTTGGGTGCTCTTAGTAATATATGGGAATCCTTTGTTCCCTTCACCCTTAGTTTCAATGTGGAAACCATTCAAACACATTTCTTTGAAACTCAACAAGCCCCTTTGAGCTGGGTGAATATGAAGCATCTGAGGATGCGTGCCCTTGGGAATATGGGCCTGCCATGGGCCTACCCTTAGCCTTCACTAAATTTAGCTATACCCGCAATTTGGCTAATGAACCATGTCTTTGGATATTTCGTTTATTGAATTCTCATAATCATCTATCTCATGGTCGAAATCTTCTTCACCATCGTGATGAACTAAATGAGCTTCTTGATTCTTTTCAAACTCTCTTGATAGAGATCAACGAGATGCTTAGGTGTCCTGCACGTCTTAGTCCAATGGTTTCCCCATTACTCATCAGTGGCAAACAAGTTTATTTGAGTGTTGTGGTTTGGGTATACCGCGGCCTCTACCTCGATTACGACCAAAGTCGGGTCGGTGGCCTTAACCATATGAATGGTTTCCTTGATCATATAAATTATAATTGCCACTTCTACCACGTTCATTCCATTTACCATGACTGTGGCCATGATACTTATCTCTTTGGACGTGGTTAGACTCTTTAGTCTCTTTAGGCTTTTTAGGCTCTTCAGCCCAATGGGCTTCTGATAATGGGGTAGGACCAGGAGGTCTCATTTCACTATTTATAACTCATTGTTTTGCTCAGCAAGTAGCAAAACAAGAGTTTAGACTTGCATATGTAGTAAAAACCTTTTTCACGATATTGTTGCTGAGGCAATATATTGTTTGTGTGAAAGGTCGAGAATGCTTTCTCTAGCAAGTCATTCTCAGTAACTTCCTCACCACGGAATCTCAGTATTGACACTATTTTAAATAGTGCTGAGTTATACTCATTCATGGATTTGAATTCCTGGAATCTGAGATTCTTTCGATCGAATCGGGCTTTTGGGTAATAGCACCGTCCTGAGGTCCAGAGGATTCTTAATAGTGAGGTACTGATTTTGAGACTCTCATTGAGGTGATGGCGTATGTCAGTAATCGCCTTATATCTTTCTCTTCTGGTGACATTGTTTCCTTCCATAATAGATTCACCAAGCCTTTTTTCCTTTAGGACAATCTCAGTATCCAAAGCCCATTTTAAATAATTGTCACCAGAGGCATTGAGTGCCGTGTATTCATAATGTTGATTTCTGACATCTTTTAATATATAGAGTTGAATGAGAACTCATGTAATCGGTTAGACCATGTCATGCGGTATTTAAGACCGAGCCATGCTTGTCTTCAACAAGTGTTTTCTAAACAATCATGTTATATATATATGGATGAAATCAACCCTAGAAGATTGATCTAGTATGCAACAACCAAACAATCGGATCATACTAGATTAGGATATTATGATTTCGCGGTTAAGTTTTAGGGTTTTAGCATCCGCGATTTATAGTACTAGGGTTTTTTTCTAGGGTTTCGGTTTTATGTATGGAACTTTCTATTTATGGAATCTTTCCTTATATGGAACTTTTCTTTTATGAAAAATTTCTATTTCTCATCTAGAAAGAAATCCTAAACAATTATGTATTTTAGGGTTTTGGAATATTTCCTTATGAAGGGGTTTCCTATTTTGGTAACTTTCCATTTTGGGAAACTTGCTACTTTAGGGAACCTTTTATTTTGGGAAACTTGCTATTTTACGAAACTTTCTATTTCTGGAAACTTTCCTTATGTGGAAACTTTCTATTTATGGAAACTTTCCTTATATGGGAAACTTGATCTTAAACCGTGACTTAGGGTTTATTAAACCGGTTTAACCTAGGATTTAGGGTTTCGGTTTACTTTCGGTTTAACCTAGGGTTTATAATAAAACATTCAATCTATCATGTCATTAAACATCTTTCCATTCACTAACTTCTCAATTAATTCTCCAATCATAAATCAAATCACATGTGCCAATTTTCATGCAAATTTTATCTTATCAAACTTTAATTGGATCATGTATATAAAGCATAATAAATAAATAGCACTTATCTTAATTGGAGAACTGAAACAGAGACCCGAGATTTGATACGGAGATTGGAAACAGTTATCTCTTTTAGCTGGTTGGGACCTCCTACAAAATCTCAATATATATAATCCTGATTCCTGAGAAACTCAGAATTTTGCTCATGGAAACATGGCTAAAGCAATAATCAATGATAAAACATTAAAAGATCAGAGATCAAACAATTGTCGAAACAATAAACAAACAGGTTTCGGTAAGATCTTAAAGCAATAATCAATGATAAACCAATATATGAACATGAGTAAAATCTATGATTCAATCATGATGAAGCATCAAAGTAAATTTAAATTTCAGGACTCAAATCATCGATTAACTAAAGTAACGATTAAATATTTACTAATGTTGCTTGAAGCCCAGATTCCAAAAAATAAACATAATAATTCAAATTGATCAAAAGAACAATGACCATATATACGCATGTATGATTTGATAATATAATAAACAATAAAATAATAATTATGTCTTTGAGAATTAACATTCTAATGTAACGAACGTGTGTTTAAGAACATACCATTCTAATGCCTTATTATATCAAACCATAAAGCAATAGAATTTGAAGCAATAAGATTAAGAAAATAAAGCCCATGTAACGAACATGTGTTCTCTATCATATGTGTCGATCGCTAGTTACTATAGATGAAGCAAAAAGATTTCCATTTAAATAAGATTAAGTAATGCATGTGTAGATCTATATAAAGTTCCGTCAACAACAATTATGTACTATGTAATATATTAAACATGAATCAATCGAATCTAAGTAATATGGTGGACAATGGCTTAGCTCGATGATTATGGTTTCGGAGAATAAAGAAGGAGACGACATCGGAAACGCAAACTCGACGGAGACGGTGTTGGAAAGATCGGAGAACTTTTAGTTCTAAGTGATTAGGATTTTCTTAGCTCAGACGGTTTTGGCTTTTGGTTTTTGTGAGAGAGATTTAGGGTTTCAGGATTTTTAGCTTTTAGGGTGAGAGGCTATCGTGCTGATAACGTGTTGTAAACTGTGTCTTTCATTAATAGTATAAGGGATATATATACAAGGATAATAGCAGGATACAGAGAATAAGGTAAAACCCTAATGGGCCATGGGCCGGTTATGGAGTCCATCCATATGGTTTATAACAGCTAACATATTCTCGATTAAGGAATAAGTAAGGAATATGCTTGATTTGTTATTATATCAAATATAAATCAATTAGTTTTCCTTTAATAAGTGTAATATATGAGATTGGTTTGTTAAGGAAATATAAGAGTAGTGATATTCTAATCCGAATAAATAGATTTGCTGGTTATGGTAATGTATTATTAATGTTTATTTTCTTTTTAATTACTTGCAGATCCCATAAACGCATATGCTTCTGTCTGGACCTAAAAATCTCGTAAGCCCAATAAGAAGATTTATCATTCGAATCGGGTCTGCATTTTTTTAAGAAACAGGATCCGAATAGATGATCCAAGATCCGCGTCCCAGTTATAGTCAATTGTCAATTTTACCCCTCTTCGAAATTTTTTATTTTGTCGTTTAAATCTTAAATTGTAATGACATTCTCTTGTAATTTTTTACACTTTCTAAGGTTAGTTTTTAGAAAATGCTTCCCAATTAATAGTATAGATAATAAAACAAACTCAATCAATGCATAAAACACAAGATGCAAAAACATTCGGATTAAGACAAAGCAGGAGAGCGAGATATAAACGAAACTTCAAGCAATATTAAACAAACGAGTCTTCGGGTTTAGGTTATTGATTTGAGTGATTACTAATCAATACAAAATCCTCTTATTAATGTAATACTAAATTATTTATAGTGTTTTGAAAACAATCATATCATACTAATTATTTCACCACATATATAAACTGTTATACAGAAAATGAATCCTCTACGGGCCATGTCAGCAAGCTTAGGCCCATTATGGTTAAGCTTTCCATTATGGCTAAGTTTCTAGTCTAATTGAAGTGTATTGGACGTAACCTTAATGACAGTTTCAAGCACCTATTTTTGAACAAAATGGTTTTAATTAATTTTTCTTTTTTAATAAAGGGTCTCATTCATAAATTAAATTGGAAATACATTTTTTTTAACTATCTAACCAATTAAATAAACAGTTAACAAAATTCTACAAAATGATCTAAACATAACAAAAACGAACCGCCACATAATAGTTGCTTTCCACAGTACCGAAGACCACAACTCTGCTAGAAAGACTTAAGAGTGAAAATTTGCCATCACCAGGAAAAAACTAACCAAATACCAAACCAATGAGTGAGAGAAGAAACCTACTACGCCTCGCCGTCTTGATTTCACCGCCATTGTTGGATCGCCGATTTCGTTGGAGGAACGAGAATGCCCATAATTCGAAAGATTTTTGTTGGAAAATCGTGTAACAGTAGTCGAGTGAAAGAGCATAGATACCGTCTCCTTGCGTCTTTAAAGTTCTACCGATCTCGAACACCTACTCTCCACCGCAAATCCTTTAGGGCTTCTCCAACGAGACGCCATCCCACTATATTTGGTGCAAAGTGTTCTCCAACGTGACGCCATGAACGACGGGATAATTTTTTTTTGGTGTTTTATGAACAGTGTTACACCATTATTGCTCTTTCGTTTTCAATATAAGCACGACACGCTGTATCAGTTACAAAACTCAAATCTGTGAATAATATTTTATTCTCTTGTTTCATTCTTTGTACCTCGACCTTTTGTCTTTGAATTTCATTTCTTTCAGAAGTACCTTTAGCAATAGCTTTGATAAGCTTATCATTTTGCTCCATAATTTGTTTAAATTGTTCCTCAGAATGTTGTTTTCTTTTTGCTTTTTTTACTCCCATAGGTCTCTGAGATGAATTAAAACTGGCATCTTCACTATTCGTATTTAGATCGCATGAATTCATACCAGGGGATGGCGATGACTCATCTTGGAATGATGGAGATGACCTAACATTAGAACCTTCTTCTTGGAATGCATCGCCTCTATTAGTGTGGTTATTTGAAAATTTCTCAATACCTTTAAGGATTGGCCAAACATGATCGAATTTGAATCCTGCCTTGTAATTGTCATATTGTACGTGTTAATAACATCTTCGCTTGGTTTAACTGATTTAACATTGACAAGAGAAAAATGTGAATAAATTAGCAAATAAACTAAATTAATAATTATAAAGCAAGAACAAATAATGGTAGTATATATACTTACAATGTCTTGCTCAGAAGCACCGCTAGGATTTTTGTTTTCAATCTGGTTAACGCACCCCCTCAACTTGGAGACCGCAAAAAGAATTGTTGTCATTCGAGTTTGTAAAGATCTTTTGGGCCTTGGTTGACTATGAAAAATCTGAGATTTTTCATATTCAATGTAAACTCGATTCCAAAATTGATCTCCCTTTTGGTTTATCCCTATGATTGGATCTTGGGAAACATCAAGATACACATGACATAAGTGCATATCTTCTTCAATAGAATATGACTTAGAGCGACTTGTCATTTTAGAAGAAATATTAGTGGTAAGAAAATAAATGGAAGATGTGTGATCATACAAAGAGTGGTGTACATTTATATAGAGAAGTGAGGAAAATTCAAGGGTTTAATGAAGTGACTAATCGATCCAACGGTTGGATCTTGCTCAAAAAAATCAACGGGTTAGATTGATTCGCACTTTTCTGATATAAGACATGAAGTGACTAATCAATGCAACGGTTGGATCTTGGTCAAAAAAAATCAACGGCTTAGATTGATTTGTACTTTTCTCATATAAGATATGAAGTGACTAATCAATGCAACGGTTGGATCTTGGTCAAAAAAAATCAACGGCTTAGATTGATTCGTACTTTTCTGATATAAGATATGAAGTGACTAATCAATGCAACGGTTGGATCTTGGTAAAAAAAAATCAACGGGTTAGATTGATTCTTATTTTTCTGATATAAGATATGAAGTGACTAATCAATGCAACGGTTGGATCTTGGTCAAAAAAATCAACGGGTTAGATTGATTCGTATTTTTCTGATATAAGATATGAAGTGACTAATCAATGCAACGGTTGGATCTTGGTAAAAAAAAATCAACGGGTTAGATTGATTCGTATTTTTCAAATAATGTGACAATTGATATAAGACATGAATTGACTAATCAATGCAACGGTTGGATCTTGATCAAAAAAATCAACGGCTTATATTGATTCGTATTTTTCAAATAATGTGATAATTGATATAAGACATGAATTGACTAATCAATGCAACGGTTGGATCTTGATCAAAAAAATCAACGGCTTATATTGATTTGCTTACACTATAAAATGGGTACCATGGTGGGAAATTAAGATGAATATTACCATCATTTTCTATTTCTTCTCATAAAAAATGAATTTCAACTATGGTAGTTCATCTCATATACCATCTTCTTCTTCTTCATCTTCATCTTCAGATAATGATTATTATGATGATATAGAAAAACAGTCACTAGCTCAAATTGCCGCAAACACCAATTTTCTCATCACTCAAAACCTATTTCACTCGGAGAGTTCTCATGGTGGATCTATTCCAGGTCATATAGTTATCAACCGTGACCGAGAAAATGCTTCCCGCAATCTCTTCAACGATTATTTTTCAGACAATCCTTTGTTTCCTAAGACAATGTTCCGACGAAGATTTCGGATGGGTCGTCCTTTGTTTCTACGTATTTATGATGCTATACAAAGACATGACAATTACTTTTTCCAACGAAGAGATGGTGCTGGTAAACTTGGTTTGTCTAGTTTGCAAAAAATAACAGCTGTATTTCGAATGTTGGCGTACGGTTTACCGGCTGATTCCACTGATGAGTATATCAAAATACGGGAGTCTACAGCTATAGAAAGTTTGAAACGATTTTGCCGTGCTGTTGTCGAGGTGTTTTCCAGTCGCTATCTTCGATCTCCTGACGCAAACGATGTTGCACGATTACTCCACATTGGTGAACGCCGAGGATTTCCAGGTATGTTGGGTAGTTTAGATTGTATGCATTGGAAATGGAAAAACTGCCCAACAGCTTGGGGAGGACAATATGCTGGTCGTAGTGGATCTCCTACTATTATTCTAGAGGCTGTAGCATATTATGATCTTTGGATTTGGCATGCATATTTTGGTCTACAAGGATCTAACAATGATATTAATGTGCTAGATGCATCTCATCTTTTTGCTAGTCTTGCTGAAGGAACTGCTCCACCAGCTAACTATGTTATTAATGGGAAAAATTATCATACGGGTTATTATCTAGCTGATGGTATATATCCAAAATAGTCTACTCTTGTTCAAACCATTCACGATCCACGTGGTCCGAAAAAGAAATTATTTGCGAAGAAACAAGAAGCATGTAGAAAAGACGTGGAACGTGCATTTGGAGTATTGCAGTCAAGATTTGCAATTGTGGCTGGACCATCACGTTTTTGGAGTAAGAAAGTGTTACATGATATAATGACAACTTGTATCATAATGCATAATATGATTATAGAGGATGAACATGATCTTGGTGCAACAATTGAAGAAAGAGTCGAAGTCCCAACGGTAGAAGTTGAAATGGCGGGCGACGATGATGCTCGATTTCAAGAATTTTTAGCTCGACACAGGCAAATCAAAGACCGGGAAGCTCATATTGAACTTCGAAATGCATTAATTGAGCAATTGTGGACGGAATATACTAATTCTGAGAATTAGTACAATGTAATTTATTTTCTGTTATTTTAATTTATCGATTGTAATCTTATATTACTTAAATTAAAATAAATCAGTTATAAAAATTATTAGTATTTATCAAACTATTAAAAAATAGAGAAAATCTAAAATTTAATAATTTAATAATACTAAATTTATTTTTAGTGTGAAATTTGGTGTTAATAGTTGGAGATAAAAAAAAAAGTAGTACACCAAAACACCAAATTTGGTGTTAAAATTTGGTGTTTTGGTGTATTGTTGTTGGAGTTGCTCTTAGCTTCTATGCCATGTGGCCGAATCAAAGCCAACACACGTGCCGGGCTACTGCTAGAATGGAACCACTTTCACATCTAGATTTTTAGGTGTAGTTTGAAATTTTATTTTTAAAGTTTTTAAGTTTTTTTAATTTTATCTAATAACGAATTTTAAGAAATCTTTTTGAAGGTACGGTGTGGTAATATAACATTCAGTACTTTTCTTTTTATTTACATCACTTTTCTTCATTTTTCTTTAATCATTCTTGCATCATTATTGGTTTTGATTTTAATATTAATATTTGTTGGGACGAACCCAAAAAGACATTTAATAAAGGAAGAAATAGACATTATCTAAAGATGTGTCTTATCAGGATCTTTACTCAGATGTATAACATTTTATATGAAATTACCAGATACATACAGATCTTTTTTTTATTACTATCATATTTTGGGTATATTTTTTATATCCAGCGTGCCCCTGTTAAACGTTACAGGAAAAAACGTAATTACAAAGAATGCCACTGCCATGTCAGCAAAGCCGCGTCGCCACGTCAGCAAAGCCGCGTCGCCACTCAGCCGTAAAGCGATACAGCGGCAGTGACGGCTGAGTTACGGTTAGTAGCGGCTGATTTATGGAAAATGACTGAGTTATGAGCAAACGGCTGACTTACG